CCTAGCGGGAGACGCCGCTCTGGCAAGGGCAAGGGGGGCAAGGGAGCTGGAGGAGCGGGCGGTGGAGGTGGAGGTGGAGGCAGTGGGGGGAGTGGGGGTAGCGGTGGAGGTGGAGGTGGGGGTGGGGGGTTCGGTGGCGGCAGTGGAGGCGGAGGCCGCGGCGGCGGTGGCGGTGGTAGCGGAGGTGGCGGAGGAGGCGGCGGTGGAGGAGGCGGTGGAGGCGGCGGCGGCAGTGGAGGCAGCGGAGGCGGTGGAGGCGGTGGGGGTGGCGGTGGAGCTGGTCGCGGGTCTTTGCAGAGGAGTGGCTCAGGTGGTGGCTCACGCCAGCAGCAGCAGCGTGGTCGTGCGACCCTGTCCCCTCAGCAGCTCCGTGAGTGGTACACTGCACGCCAGCGGGGTGGGGGTTTTGGTCCGTGTACCTACGTCCTGCGCACCGGCGACCGTGCGGGTGAGCAGTGTGGGGGTGCGCACCCCACTCCGCGCTGCTTTGGCCGCCTGACGGACGCATGGCGTCACCAGTTCCCGGAGGCCTCCGAGATCCCTCGCTGGGACGAGCTGTCTAGGGCGGGGGTTGCCATCTTTGATCTGGACTTTGATGCTATTCTCTCTGCCATGTATGCTGTGTCTATTAGTGATGAGGGTGACTGTTACCGGTGTTTCCAGCCCGATCCGGGCATTGAGACTGCTGCCCTAGGTGCTTACGACGCTGCTGCTCTAGGTGCTGGTGTGTCTGCGTCCTCAGGTACTGGTGAGTCTGCTCTCTCAGGTACCGCGTCGGCTTCGGCCTCCCTCACCTTCACTCTTGACTCTGGGGCGTCTCGCTCCTTCTTTCGGGACCGCACCACACTCACGCCGCTTAGTCGGCCGGTTGCGGTGTCTCTGGCTGACCCCTCTGGGGGTCCGGTCCTGTCTCGTTTCTCCACAGTCCTCCCGTGTCCGGCGGCTCCCTCTGGCACCCTGTCTGGTCTCTACCTCCCCTCGTTCTCGACGAACCTGGTGAGTGGTGCTGACCTACAGGATGCGGGTGTCCACCAGTTCACTCCTGCACGTCGGCGAGTGACCCACTGTACAGAGGCTGGCACAGGCCGACACCTGGCTACGTTCACCCGTCAGCCGGGGTCGAGCCTGTACACTCTGACCACTGCGTCTCCTCCAGTTGCTGAGTCTGGTAGGGTAGCTACGTCGGGTCAGGTGTTTGCTGCGGCGTCCAGGTCTGGCCCTGAGTCTGCCCCCTGTTCGTGTCGTCTCCTGTCTCACGAGACTCTCCTCTGGCACCACCGCCTTGGCCACCCCTCTCTGCTTCGGCTCAGAGGTATGGCCTCCCGTCTTCTTGTGTCCGGTCTCCCCCGGTCCCTCCCTCCCCTTCCTCAGGGCCCTGGCCCTGCCTGTGTCCCCTGTGTCGAGGGGCGCCAGCGTGCTGCCCCTCACTCCTCCCAGTTTCCTCCGACAGAGGCCCCGTTGCAGACACTTCACATGGACGTGTGGGGCCCAGCCCGCGTCCGTGGACAGGGTCACGAGCGCTACTTCCTGCTCGTTGTTGACGACTACTCGCGTTACACCACAGTCTTCCCCTTGCGCAGCAAGGGTGATGTCACTGAGGTGCTGATCGACTGGATCCGTGCAGCTCGTCTCCAGCTCAGGCAGAGCTTCGGCTCGGACTTTCCTGTTCTGCGTCTGCACTCGGACAGAGGCGGAGAGTTCTCCTCTGGCCTTCTGCGTGCCTACTGTCGTGCACGGGGCATCCGTCAGACCTTCACGCTTCCGGACTCACCGCAGCAAAATGGGATTGCTGAGCGCCGCATTGGCATGGTCATGGACGTCGCTCGTACGTCTATGATGAGGCTGCCCCCCATTTTCTGTGGCCGTTTGCGGTGAGGTACGCGGCGCATCAGATCAACCTCCACCCCAGGGTCTCCAGGCCGGAGACCTCCCCAGCCTTGCTGTGGACGGGGAAGGTTGGCGATGCGTCGGCGTTCCGGGTCTGGGGATCTCGGGCGTTTGTCCGCGACCTGTCTGCGGACAAACTATCCCCTCGTGCTGCTCCTTGCGTCTTCCTGGGGTTCCCCCCTGACGCGCCTGGGTGGCAGTTTTACCACCCCACCTCTCGCCGTGTTCTGTTCTCCAAGGACGTCACGTTTGACGAGTCGGTCCCCTACTACCGCCTCTTCCCCTACCGCACTCCGTCCCTCCCCCCACCCCCACTCTTCCTGGTACCAGGTCCCCCCCAGGTAGACCCCCTCCCCCCTCAGGGTCCTGCCCCTTCAGGTGTGTCCCAGGTAGACGCAGTCGAGCCTGTCGAGGTCACTGGTGACTCTGGTGCTGCTGAGGGTGCTGAGGCTGGGGGTGCTGTACCTGGGGGTGCGGAGCCTAGGGGTGCTGAGCCTGGGGGTGCTGAGCCTAGGGGTGCTGAGCCTGGGGGTGCTGAGCCTAGGGGTGCTACGTCTGGGGGTGCTGAGCCTAGGGGTGCTGAGCCTGGGGGTGCTGAGCCTAGGGGTGCTGAGCCTGGGGGTGCTGAGCCTAGGGGTGCTACGTCTGGGGGTGCTGAGCCTAGGGGTGCTACGCCTGGGGGTGCTGAGCCTGGAGGTGCTCCGCCTGGAGGTTCTCCGAGTGCTTCGTCTCGCCGGGAGCCACTTTCTCCACAGGAGCTGCGTGAGTGGTTTGCCCGGCGCTGGAGGCGTGCTGCTGGTGCTGGAGGTCCTTCGGCTGCTGAGGGTGCTGCGGTCGCGGGTCCCGGAGGTGCTCGTCCTGGGTGCACTGGAGCTGCTGGACCTGCGGGGTCTACTGGAGCTGGTGCTGCTGAGGGTGTTGGCGCTGAGACTACCGCTGGCAGTCCTGCTGGGGGTGCTCCTGGTGCTGCTGGAGGTTCTGGAGCTACTGGTGGTGCTGCTGGAGCGGGTGCTCCTGCTGAGGGTTCTGGTGCTGTCCCTGCTGCTTCTAGCGTCGCCGCGCGGCCTCGACCGTACTTCGTTCCACTCCTGCAGCAGGTTCTTGGTCTTCCACCTTCTACTGGTCCTCCTCCTCCCTTAGAGTGTCCACAGCCTGCGCAGCTACCTTGGCTTGCAGATCACCCGGGACAGAGCACGCCGCACCATTACCCTGACTCAGTCACACATGGTGCAGCAGGTCCTTCAGCGCTTCGGCTTCACGTACTCCTCGCCTCAGGCCACTCCTCTGTCTACTCGCCACTCGCTCTCAGCTCTGCCTTCGGATGAGTCCGTAGAGTCGAGTGGCCCGTACCCAGAGCTTGTTGGCTGCCTCATGTACCTGATGACCTGCACACGACCTGACCTTGCATACCCTCTTAGCATTCTTGCACGCTATGTTGCTCCTGGGAGACACAGACCAGAGCACATGGCTGCAGCGAAGAGGGTGTTGCGCTACTTGTGCAGTACGTCGGGCATGGGGCTAGTTCTTGGAGGGCGGAGTCCAGTGGTCCTCACTGGGCACGCGGACGCTTCTTGGGCTGACGACCAGGCTACGCAGCGGTCGTCACAGGGTTACACCTTCAGCCTTGGTTCCGGCTCTGTTTCGTGGCGGGCTACTCGCTCGTCTTCTGTTCTTGGCTCGAGTTGTGAGGCTGAGATCTACGCCGGGGCCATGGCTGTACAGGAGCTTCGCTGGCTCACCTACCTGCTGACCGACCTTGGAGAGCCGCCTCGTTCTCCTCCAGTCCTGTACGTAGACAACAAGGCCATGCTGGCCTTGTGTCGAGAGCAGCGACTGGAGCACAGAACAAAGCACATTGCTCTCCGCTACTTCCTTGCTCGTGAGCTACAGCAACGTGGACAGTTGCGGCTTGCGTACGTGGCCTCTGAGGCCAACACTGCTGATGTCTTCACCAAGGCACTTCCGCCTTGTGATCATCAGCGCTTCTGCACTCAGCTGGGTCTTGTGCCCGTCTTGCCTCACTTGCTCTCCTCTTGACCTTGCTTGTACTCTCACATATATATATACCTGCTCTTGCTTGTCTAGCTTTATATATATGTGTGTACTCTTGCATGTGAACTGGCCGTGTGGCCTTGACCCTGTGCTCGGACTGTGTGGTGACTTTGTGATCCACCCTGAGCTTGCTTTGCTTTGCTTTGCTTGACTGGTCTTGTGACCCCTTGTTCTCCCCCACTTTGCCTATGGGGGTGTGTCAGAACATTGTAGCTTATGCTGTTGTGTAGGCTATAGTGGGGTATCCCATAGGGGGTACAACCAATTAGGGTTTCATATTTGTACTCACTTCATTTCATAGTTCATTCATTCTTGTTCTAATCTTCTCATAGTCTAGGTCTTTTCGTATTCCCCTGTACTCTTATATAAACTCGATGTATGCATGCTTTTATCAACTCAGTCATTTACATTCACTCTGACCTGAGATTCAAACTTCCGCTGCAACACTACTCTGCGATCAACCCTGAGCGATCCTTCGCTAAGTCCCTCTTGGGATTGTAACAGTCGCCACGTGGATTTCCTAATCCGTTGGACTGACCGCACCAGTGAGGACGACACGTGGGTGCATTCTGACTCGCTGACCGCCTCGTCACTTGTTGGTGATTATTTGGCGCGCAAGCGTGTTTCGGACATTGGCCGCCTTTCTTAAAGGGGGGGGTAGTGTAAGGAATTTTCCTTAATTCCTTATCGGGTTGACTGCTACGCGTACAACCCGATTTTCGGACTTAGCACGTTCGGCCGATTTCAACGCTGCCGAGGCTCCTCGCGTCACCTTCGGCATTTCCCATCGCCAAACCTGCACCCCAACCTCGCTCGTCCGAGGTTTCCTCCTAGCTAGGCCAACCCCTACATTAGTCTGTGCCTTCATTGCATTCTCAGTTCAGTTAATTACAGTCTCGTTATTCGTTTACCTGCGCACTCTCTTTTACAACTCATAACAGAACGCATTTATTGTACGCGTTTCGTTATTTGTCATTCCGTTCTCATAGCAAACACTGCGATGACGATTTCCGCAAACGTGATCATACCGCCATCCCCATGACCAGCCGCTCTTGGTGGTGATGAGTGACGTCAGCAGGTGGCAATCAGCGGCAGCGACAGGCAAACCTGGTCGTCGGGCGCCTGGCAGCGCGCCTGCTGTCGCCGCTGCGTCCCCCTTCGATCTCCCCTCTTCCGCCACTCCTCCGCTCGCCTCCTTGCGCCCAGTACCGCCGCAGGTCCCTCTCGCCCCGCGCGCTCCCCACCATCCCGCCGCAGATAAGCCGCTGGCTTCCGCTCATCCCACGCGCTCCCTGTCATCGTCGCAGCCGCACAGCAAAGCCCGCCGTCTGCCCTTCCGCTTCCCCGCGCGCGCCGTGTCCCCCAAGGCGCGCGCGCTCTGCCACTACGCCGCGCTCACGGTCGCCGCGGCCCTCTTTCTCGTCGTGTGGATCGCCTTTCAGCCCGACGCGCCCCCCCTGCCCGACCGCCGTGACCCCAATGGGAGGGCCGTCCCCCACCGCTCGCATGAAGCGCTACGAGGCTGCCCGGTGTGCGGCCGCGGCGAGGTCAAGCTGCCGCCGTTGGTGCGCCCGCTGTCCGCGCGCGGCGCCAAGGTGCGCCTCTGCATGGGCAGCGCCGCCGCGCCGTTCGCGCAGGGCACGTTCGTGAGCCCCGAGGAGAAGCGCGACGGGGCGAGCTTCGGCAGCCGGTTCGCGCAGCTGACGGTGTTCGAGGCGGAGGCGCTGCACGAGGCGGCGGAGGGCGCGGGGGAGGCGCGCGGAGGCGGCGGAATTGCGGGGCGGCAGGGGCAGCGGGGAACGGCGGCGGTGACGACGTGGGTGCGGCTGCTGGCGTTTCTGGAGGACTCAGAGTCGATCCGCAAGACGCAGTGGGAGGGGTGGGGCGCGGCGGAGCTGAGCGACGTGTACTGGCGGGGCGCGTTGCAGGTGAAGTGCCTGGTGTGGCCGGGGCACGACCCCGCCCTGCACAGCGTGGCGCCCGCCCTCGTGGTGGACGCCGTGGTGCGCCACCGCCACCCCTGGCACATCGCCCTTGAGTGCCCCCTCCCGCCCTTCCCCTCCCCCTCCTCCGCCTCCTCCTCCTCGTCCCCCATGGACCCTTCGGCGGACCCCTCGGCGGACGATGCAGTGTTGGTGCGAGTGAGGGCGAGCAGGAGGGAGGCGAGGCGGCACTACGTGGAGTACGGGCAGCGCCTGCAGGTGCAGCTCGTGGCCGCCCTCAACGGCTCCAACCTGCGCATGCCGCCCCTGCTGCTCTGCCGCGCTGACGGCGACGCCGACAGTGACAGCGACGGCAGTGACGGCCTCCCCGTCGCCCCGGGCAGCCACGCCCCGCCGTTCCCCTTCGCTGCGGTGGAGAGGGAGGTGGCTGCCGTGGCTAATGCAGGCTCGGGAGGAGGCTCGGAACTGGCGAGGCTGATGGGGGGAGATGGGGGAGGAGGAGTGGGCGGGAAAGGGAGGATGAATGGAGCGGGGCGAGGGGAGGGCGCGGGGGCGGGTGGAGTGGAAAGAGGGAGTGCGGAGGAGATGCAGAGGGGCAGCGCGGAGGAGATGCTGGTGGACTATGGGGAGGACGCCGCCACGGGCGAGCAGGGGGGCAGCGGCGCCGCAAAGGCCAGCAGCGGCAGCAGTGGGGGCGGCAGGAGGAGGGCGATGGGGGCGGTGGCGATCTGCCTGCGCCCCTTCCACACGCGGCAGCTCTTCTCGCAGGATGTGGCCTTCTCACACGCGCGCCTGCTGGAGTGGATCGACGCGGCGCTGCTCATGGGTGTGGAGCGCATCTACGTGTACGACCGCCACGCCACCGCCATGGCTGCCCTGCTGGCGCCCTACAGCGAGCGCGGGCAGGTGCAGCACGTGCCCTTCCCCCCCTGGAGCGAGGTCTTCTTCCGCCACGCACTCTATGCTGGCAAGGCCCGCGTGCCGTACCTGGTGAGTGCCGTACCTGGTGAGTGCCGTACCTGGTGAGTGCCGTACCTGGTGAGTGCCGTATTTGGTGAGGCTTTCTCTCGACTCATTGCTAACCTCACAGCACTCTGTCCCGCCTGCCAAATCTGCCTCCCACACCAACTGGTACCAATGCCAGGCTTCGATATTCTCCCTTGCGCCTCGCTTAGCCATGCCTCTCTCGCCCCCATGCCCCTCTCTCTCCCATGCCCCCTGACGCTCACCCTTTTCCCTCTGTTGCACGCCTCTCCTTCTCGCCCCTCCCTTCCCCCCATGCGCGGCCAGTTCCCGGAGATCTACGATCAGATCATCTCATACGAGCACTGCCTCATGCAGGGGCGGCGGCTGGGAGACCGGTGGCAGCTGCACATCGACAGCGACGAGTTCGTGTGGTACGAGCCGCGCACGGGCGGCTTCCTCAAGCCGCTGCTCGCCCGCCTTGAGCTCAACCACACGCGCTCTCGTCCTCGCGGCAGCAAGGAGCCCCTCCGGGTGAGCCCAGCAGCGTGGCACCGCCTTAAGGCCATCTGCCTCTCTCCACTCAAATCAACCCCCGCATCAATGTGCTGTATTGCCTTGAAGGACCGTGCTGTGTTGCCTGGGAGTGCATTACTCGGCTCACTCGTCTCCTCCCTCCCCAACCCCCCATGCACCCGCAGGTGATTCAGCTGCGCCGCTTCAACTTCTGGGGTGTGGAGGCGGAGTCCCGCCGCGAGCCGGTGTTGGACCGCCTCACATGGCGGTGCGCACAGCCCATGTGGCACACGGAGGGGTGGGCGGGCTGGCATGACAAGCTCGCTGTCAACCCACAAACCATCCTGCCCTAGTTGAGTGCCGCCCGAGTTGAGTGCCGCCCAAGTTGAGTGCCGCCCAAGTTGAGTGCCGCCCAAGTTGAGTGCCGCCCAAGTTGAGTGCCGCCCAAGTTGAGTGCCGCCTGAGTTGAGTGTTGCTGCAGTGAGCGTTGCCTTTCCCACGACTCCTCTCTGCCGTCAACCCTATGGTGCAAGTCTATTCATTTCTTTCATCTTGACCATCTCACTCATCTCAGCCGGTGATAATCTCAACCAGGATGCACACCCAAGCAAGGTGCCAGCCTGATCCACCACTCTTCACTGCACCACATCCTATGTTCCCTTGCATCCTTCTCTCGTCACTCTCCTCCCATTTCTTCTCCCTCCACATTTTCCTTCAACACGTCCTCCCCCGCGTTCCCGCCACCCCTCCCCCCTTCCACTCGCCCCGCCATCAGCTCGGTGGCGATCCACACCACCACGGCGCCGCCAGACTCGGTGGCAACGGCGCCGAGGGACGTGCTGCATCTGAACCACTTCACAGCCACGGCCATCGACCTCGCGCAGCACCCGTGCCGCTCCTGGGTGAAGCCCGTGCTGGACCGCGGCCTCACCTGGGTCACCCCGCGCGCCCTCAAGTGCCGCGCGCTGCCCTGTCGCCGCTCCACGCCCCTCGAGTGCTGGCCCTTCTGCATCCTGCCGTGGCAGGGGGAGGACGACGGCAGGGGGCATCGTGCTGGTGGGGGTGGAGGGGCAAGGGTGGCTAAAACGGAGAGTGTGGAGAGTGGGGAGGGAGAGAAGAGTAAGGAGCCTGTCGAAGATACGATGTAACTAGATATGTCGTCGTAGCCTGCTTGCATGTGATCAGGCATTTGAGTTGCCATAAGCTCGTTGTGCCGCATGGCCTTTCATCAGCTGCTGTGCAGCTCAGTGCCCAAAGCTGTGCAGCTCAGTGCCCAAAGCTTCACAAGAGAAATCGAAATGGATTCATTACAAGCAATAAGCACATACAAAGGTTCCTTCGTATTGCGTTGAGTCTACATATACAAAAAAAGGCAACAGGAGCAGAGCTGTACAATGGGGCCAGGCTGGCATGCGCTGCTAGTGGCGCAGGCGCAGGTAGATGACGGCAGCGATGGCGAGCAGCAGGAGGGCGAGGATGAGCGCGGTGATCCACTTGTTGCGGTGCAGCTTGTGCGCCATGCCCGCCAGCACCCTCCGCGCTCGACTCATCTGGTGGTCCACGTCCTCCAGCTGCCAACCGCAGGCACGGCACAGGGGAATGCTCTTGAGGGCCCAGCGGTGCGAGCAGTGAGAGAGGTGCGAGCAGTGAGAGAGGTGCGTGCAGTGAGAGAGGTGCGAGCAGTGAGAGAGGTGCGAGCAGTGAGAGAGGTGCGTGCAGTGAGAGAGGTGCGAGCAGTGAGAGAGGTGCGAGCAGTGAGAGGAGTGCGAGCAGTGAGAGAGGTGCGAGCAGTGAGAGAGGTGCGAGCAGTGAGAGAGGTGCGAGCAGTGAGAGAGGTGCGAGCAGTGAGAGAGGTGCGAGCAGTGAGAGAGGTGCGAGCAGTGAGAGAGGTGCGAGCAGTGAGAGAGGTGCGAGCAGTGAGAGAGGTGCGAGCAGTGAGAGAGGTGCGAGCAGTGAGAGAGGTGCGAGCAGTGAGAGAGGTGCGAGCAGCGAGAGAGGTGCGAGCAGCGAGAGAGGTGCGAGCAGTGAGAGAGGTGTGTGCAGTGAGAGAGGTGTGTGCAGTGAGAGAGGTGCGTGCAGTGAGAGAGGTGCGAGCAGTGAGAGAGGTGCGAGCAGTGAGAGAGGTGCGAGCAGCGAGAGAGGTGTGTGCAGAGAGAGAGGTGTGTGCAGAGTGAGAGGTGTGTGCAGAGTGAGAGAGGTGCGTGCAGTGAGAGAGGTGCGTGCAGTGAGAGAGGTGCGAGCAGCGAGAGAGGTGTGTGCAGTGAGAGAGGTGTGTGCAGTGAGAGAGGTGCGAGCAGTGAGAGAGGTGCGAGCAGTGAGAGAGGTGTGTGCAGAGTGAGAGGTGTGTGCAGAGTGAGAGAGGTGTGTGCAGTGAGAGAGGTGTGTGCAGAGTGAGAGAGGTGCGAGCAGTGAGAGAGGTGCGTGCAGTGAGAGAGGTGCGAGCAGTGAGAGAGGTGCGTGCAGTGAGAGAGGTGCGAGCAGTGAGAGAGGTGCGAGCAGTGAGAGAGGTGTGTGCAGTGAGAGAGGTGCGAGCAGTGAGAGAGGTGTGTGCAGAGTGAGAGAGGTGCGAGCAGTGAGAGAGGTGCGTGCAGTGAGAGAGGTGCGAGCAGTGAGAGAGGTGCGTGCAGTGAGAGAGGTGCGAGCAGTGAGAGAGGTGCGTGCAGTGAGAGAGGTGCGAGCAGTGAGAGAGGTGCGAGCAGTGAGAGAGGTGCGAGCAGCGAGAGAGGTGCGAGCAGTGAGAGAGGTGTGTGCAGAGTGAGAGGTGTGTGCAGAGTGAGAGAGGTGCGAGCAGTGAGAGAGGTGCGTGCAGTGAGAGAGGTGCGAGCAGTGAGAGAGGTGCGTGCAGTGAGAGAGGTGCGAGCAGTGAGAGAGGTGCGTGCAGTGAGAGAGGTGCGAGCAGTGAGAGAGGTGCGAGCAGTGAGAGAGGTGTTTGCAGTGAGAGAGGTGTGTGCAGTGAGAGAGGTGTGTGCAGAGTGAGAGAGGTGCGAGCAGGGGCACTATACATTCCTCTTCTAATTCACCAGAGTCTCTCCTCTCCACTACCCCTCTCTCTCGCCCCCCTCACCGTGTCGCCGGCGCGCAGCAGGGACTGGCGCTGCTGGTGCAGGTCGGCCAGGATGGCCACGCCCAGCTGCTCCGTGCCCGCCATAGCGCGCCGGCTCTCCGCCACGCGCTCAGACGACTCCTGCACCCGCGCCGTCACCTGCAGCAGCCGCGCCCGCTGGTCCGCCGCACCCTGGGGAGAGGGGGGGAGGGGTGGAGGTGGAGAGGAGGGCCGCAAGATGGATGGGCGTGTGCGTCCACCTGAAAAGAAGGGGGCACACATTGACAGAGGCACGCACCGACAGAGGCACGCACCGACAGAGGCACGCACCAAGAGGGGCACGCACCGAGAGGGGCACGCACCGATAGGGGCACGCACCGATAGAGGCACGCACCGATAGAGGCACGCACCGATAGAGGCACGCACCGATAGGGGCACGCACCGATAGGGGCACGCACCGATAGAGGCACGCACCGATAGAGGCACGCACCGATAGAGGCACGCACCGATAGAGGCACGCACCGATAGAGGCACGCACCGATAGAGGCACGCACCGATAGAGGCACGCACCGATAGAGGCACGCACCGAGAGGGGCACGCACCGATAGGGGCACGCACCGATAGAGGCACGCACCGATAGAGGCACATAGTCCCTTCCATCTTCCAGCAGCGCTGCTCTCTCCTCCTCCGCTCTCCCCACCCCTCGGGCCCCCGCTTGCCCCCCTCCTTGACCGCCCGTCACGACTCCCCCCTCCCCCGCCGAGTCCGCGGCGCGCTTCTTGGCGGCGAGTAGCGCTAGCTTGTGCGCGCGCAGGCGCGCCAGCAGATGCGCGCGGTCGGTGGGGGGAAGCGACCGCGCCTCGAGATCCATCTGGCGAATCTGGGGGAGGGGCGAACGAGGCGAGGGGAGCCGGGGGGGCGAAGAAGGAATATGTGCGGCGGGGGGGAGAGCAACGCTGCGGGGAGGAGAGCAACGCGGCGGGGAGGAGAGCAACGCGGAGGGGGGGAGAGCAACGCGGCGGGGTGGAGAGCAACGCGGCGGGGAGGAGAGCAACGCGGCGGGGAGGAGAGCAACGCGGCGGGGAGGAGAGCACCGCGGCGGGGACTGCAGAGCAGAGCGACGAACGAGGTGGCGGAGAGAAGAGAGAGCGTGGGTGAACCCGAAGAGGGTGCAGGGGGGAGTGGAGGCGACGTACGAGTGATTCCGCGTCGTCGATGCGCCGCTGCGACTCGTGCAGCCGCCCGCTGGACGCACCTGCACGGCCACGACGCGACGAGTGACACGAGGGACGCGATGAGAGGGACGAGGGACGCGATGAGTGGGACGGGGGACGCGATGAAACCGATGAGGGGCGACGAGCGAAACCCAGGGTGAAGGGAACCATGCACGGCGGAGGAGCGCAAATGAGAGACGAGCGGTCGCGGCCTATGATTACGTGCGATTCCCCTACCGTCTGACAGAGCGTCGACGATGCCGTTGAACTGCCGCTCGTACGCCTCGAAGGTCGCCATGCGCGCCACACAGACGATCACAGCCGCCGCGAGGGAGACGATGCGAGGGCTGCGCTGCTGGAGTGCGCAGCGACGTGTACTGCGAACCGGGGTTTGCGGAAAGCTAAGAAACTAAACTGGACTGGGCGATGGTTGAGCCAAACTCTACTTCGCGCCTGTCCTACCTCCTCTGCACAAGTCCAGCGAGCTGTTCAGTTCGACCGAAGAGTCACTTTTATGAGTTGTAATGGAAAGAGTGTTGTTACGACTGCAATTGAGTGAGAGAGCGAGAATTGCACTATCGAAGCAAAAGTACGAGCGAAAGCATGAGCGAAGAATATATAGCGAAACTACAGTGGTAACGGTCATGCGTGGAAAATGGGGTGCGCGACGGGCCTGGCGCCGAGGTTGGGATTTGTCCAGGCGGAGGTCTGGAGCGTGGGTTACCAACCGAACCGTGAGGTTGGGTCGCGTCGTGAACAGTGGCGGGAATAGTGTCGAGGCGAGTGTCGCGAGTGGTAACGGATTACTGTTGGGTGCTGTTGGCGGGAACAGTGGTGTACGCGCTGAGCAGGGACGCGAAGTAAGGAAAAGGAATTTTCCTTACACTACCCCCCTCCCCAAGGAGGCCCCTCCTACGAGAGCGCGTGTACATCGCGGAAATTTCGGCTTCGCAGGTACTCCGTGAGGACAGGGTGATGCTCAATTCTATCCAGGGGGACCCAGTTGTCTTCGGTGGGCGTGCGGTCCTTCCATCGTATCAGGAATTCGATGCGGCGAGCTCCCTGTGGGTCACGTACTCGATGGCTTAGTATTTTCTCAGGCGTGATGATCGGTTTAGTCGGTGGTCGGGTCATGCTGGCGGGGCGGTTGCGGGGCAGTTGGCTGGTGGATGGCACGTATGGGCGGAGCAGGCTGACGTGGAATGACGGGCTGACGTACCAGTCAGCAGGGAGGAGGAGATGGGCGGTGACGGGTGTGATCATGTGGCTGATGCGAAACGGCCCGCAATATCGGGGGCGGAGTTTTGGGGTAATGGGCAGGCGGAGGTTTTGAGTGTCGAGTAGTACGAGGTCGTCTGGCTGGTAAGTGACTGGTCGGCGGTGGCGGTCGGCGTTGCGTTTAGCGATGTCGTTAGCCTTTTTAATTGCGTCTGCTGCCCTGGTCCGTGCTGCTTGCAAAATTTCGGTGAACTGTTGCGCGCGTGGAACCGGATTGTCGGGATTCGGGGTCATGGGTACTGTTGGGTCTTGTCCGTAGTTCAGGTAAAACGGTGACTGTTGGGTCGTGGCGGATGGTGAGTTGTTGTATGCGAATTCGATGAGTAGCAGTTGCTGTTCCCACGTGTTTGGGTCGTCGCACGTGGCCCGGATGAGCTGTTCCATGGTCTGATTTGTCCGTTCTGTTTGTCCGTCGGTTTCGGGGTGGTATGATGAACTGAACTGTAGTCGCGTGCCGAACTGCTGCCATAGGTTCCGCCAGAAGTTGCTGGTGAATTTCGTGTCTCGGTCGCTGATAATCGATGCTGGTATCCCGTGCAGTCGAACGACGGTGGCGATGAAGAGGCGGGCTGTTTCTTCGGCTGTGATTGATTTTTTCCAGGCTGCGAAGTGTGCCATTTTCGTCAGTCGGTCGACGACGACCAGGATCGCGTCATTCCCACTTGCTCCGGCCGGTAACCCCGTGACGAAGTCCATCGTCACCTGCTGCCAAGCACGCTCTGGGGGTGGGATCGGCTGCAACTGTCCTGCCGGCCGCTTCCGTGACGACTTCATGATCTGGCAAGTGGGACACGATGCCACGTGTCGTTGAACGTCGGTCAACATCTCGGGCCAGTAATAATACCGCTGCAGCTGCTGCCGTGTTTTTTCTACTCCGAAGTGTCCCGAGGTAACTCCGTCGTGTGCCTCTTGTAACAGTAATTCCCGTAGCAGTGTGTACTCTGGTACCCAGATGCGGTCGGTCCCGGTTTTTACGTAATAGACTCCCTTGGCCGCTGCGAACTGCTGCGAATTTCCTCCTGTGAAGAATGGGTCCGTTTGATATCCGTGGGTAAATAGTCCTGTCAGTAGCGGGCTGGTCTGGGCGAGTAGTATCGCGTGGATTTGGGCAGTGGGGCGGGTCAGTGCGTCAGCGATGTTGGATGCGCCTTTTTTGTAAGTGACTGTGTAGTGGAAGTTCGACTCGAGGAAATCGAGCCAGCGGATCTGTCGTGGGTTGAGGTGGGGCTGTGCGCGGAGGTACTGTAGTGATCGGTGATCTGTCCGTACTGTCACGTCTGTGCCGGTCAAGTAACAGCGCCACACCTTGAACGAATGCACGATCGCAAGCATTTCGCGGTCGTGTATCGGGTAGTTTTTCTCGGGCGGGTGCATTTTTCGTGACTCGTATGCGATGGGCTGTAGGCCGTTGCCGAAATCCTGTAGCAGTACGGCTCCAATGGCGATGTCGCTTGCGTCTGTAACAACCTCGAAGGGGCGGTGTGGGTCGGCGATGCGCAGGACGGGCGGTGAACAGAGAACATTTTTCAGGGCAGAGAAGGCAGCATGCTCTTTCTCCCCCCACGTAAAAACGACCCCCTTCCGCAGTAAATCCGTCAGCGGGGCAGTTAACTGTGCCATGTCGGGGACGAACCGACGGACATAATTAACGAACCCTAAAAAACTCTGCAATTCCGTGATGTTCGTGGGGGGATGCCACGCTTTGACCGTGTCCAGCTTCTTGCGGTCAATTTCAACCCGAACCTCCGAAATGACGTGCCCCAAAAACTCTAACCTATCCTGGAAGAACTCGCACTTGGAACCCTTGGTCAGTAGGCGATGCTCGTCTAGAACTTTAAAAACTGCTTCCAGATCTGCTAAGTGCTGCTGCTTATCCCTGCTGTAGACGAGTATGTCGTCGAGGTAAACTATCACGCATTTATCTAAGAGTGGCCTAAACGCCTCGTTCATGGTCATCTGAAATGTCGCCGGTGCGTTGGTCAGCCCGAATGGCATCACGGTGTATTCGAATGACCCGTATCTAGTCCTAAATGCTGTCTTGGCGCAGTCCGATGGTTCGACCCGAATCTGATGGTAACCCCCCCGTAAGTCTATTTTCGAAAAAACCCGTGCTGTTCGCAGTTGGTCGATCAGTTCGTCGGCGCGGGGAATGGGGTATCGCGATTTGACTGTTACCCTGTTCAGTGCTCGGTAATCGATACACATGCGAAACCTTCCGTCTTTTTTCGGTGTGAACAGTATCGGTGCGGCGAACGGTGACGAGCTCGGTCGGATGAATTTCTTCTCTAACAGGTAATCTAACTGCTTCCTCAGCTCGTCGAGCTCGGGCTGTGTCAGTCTGAACTGTCGCTGTACGGTTGGCTGTGCCCCGGGTTCTAACTCTATGCGGTGGTCACGTGCTCGCTGAGGTGGCAGCCCCTCTGGTAAGTCGTCCGGGAAAGTCCCCGGGTACCGTTTCAACAGTTCCTGTAGGTCGGGCGGTACTGCTGCCAACAGTTTCTGAAAATCGCTCGGCTGCTCTGCTGCTCCTACCAATGCTATATCCACGGCGTACACGTCAGCTCCAGCGGCGACAGCCCGTTTCATCGTGATGGCGTTGACGTGGACCGTTGAAGACTCGGGCGACTGCCAGCGAGGTAGCGCGACCCAGTTACCACTACTTCGCACAGTGCAGCTACCCGTCGTCCAGTCAATTCGCGGGTTGTAGCGTCGCAGCCAATCACGCCCCAGTAAAATGTCGTGCCCATCCAATGTCGTCGCGAGCATTTCCTGTGTAAAGCCGAAGTTTCCCCCGCAGCGAACTTTTACTCTTTCCACCTTCTCCCGTATGGCCAGCGACGTGCCATCTACTAAGCGTGCGTCGATCTCTGGTAAGCACCGACTAAGTGTCAGTTGTAGTTTCCGTGCAGTTGCGGTATTAACTAAACTGTGGCTTGCTCCTCCGTCGATAAAAATCTTCACTGCTGCGCCCTGTATTTTCCCGTGGATCAGTACTGGGCAATCCGTCGCTGTACCCTCCTTATTCATCCGAGCCCGATCGATGGCGTGAATCGGTACTGTGACTCGGTGAGGGTCGGTGTGGTTGGGCGAGCAGGCAGTCTCGTCAGTAGTTGGCCCGACTTCTACTGACTGCTGGCGTTTCCCTGCCTCTGAGACTCCCTCCCCTGCTCTGCTCCGCGGCGCCTCAGCTCCTCTGGACATTCGCTCTTGCGATGGCCCGGCCTGTTGCAAGCAAAGCAGCGCCCCTTAAACGGCGCGGCAGCTGCATTCGTCGCAACAGCGTGTACAGTGGCGTGCTCGATCGGTCCCCGAGGACGATGTCCGTAGTAGGACCCCGGTCTCGGTCGGCGTAGGATGTCGATTTTCTCGGCGAGCGCCAGAATCTCGTTGAAGTTCGAGAGCCCGCGTAGCATGATCTCGTGCGAGATGTCCGGCTTCAGCCCTCCGACGTAACGGTCCACCCGCTCCGCTTCGTGCATGTAGCCGACTTGTTCGCAAAGTGCGAGAAAACCGCTCGTGTAATCTTGAACCGACCCGAGCTGCCGCCAAGTGCGCAATTTCTGACGCGCCGAAATAGAAGCCGCGATCGGCTCGAAACGCGCCCGAAGCCCTGCGCACCACGCATCCCACGTGCTGTATTGGGCGGTCTCGCAGAACGAACTCCAGGTGACAGCTGGACCCGTGGGCCCTTCCTCTTGCGACGGTGGCTCGTAGGCGCGTGGCGACGTCAAGATGACTCGCCACCAGTCCATAGCGGGGCCCCTTAGCAGCGAGACGGCATACCGAATCTTCGCTGCGTCCGACTCGACGTAATTCGCGTCGAAGAAGACGTTCATCGTGAAGACCCACGATTGAACCGTCGGACCTCCACGCTGGCTCGGGTCGAAACAGGGCGGGCGTTGCGGCTTGAGTGGCATTAGTGCCATGATGGCCTGTTCGCCACTTGTCGCCGCGAACTCCACGTGCCGACGGGCTTCGCGAGGCTCCCGCGGGCTTGGTGCGACCCTGTTTCCTCCCATG